CACTAAAGAGCTGGGGCTGGGCCGGGTGGATTATATGCCTGTAATCCCAGCACTTCAGGAGGCTGAGGCAGGAGGCTCACTGAAGCCAGGAGTTCGAGACTGGCCTGGTCAATATAGTGAGACCCTGTCTCTATAAAAAACAGAAAAAATTTGCCAGGTACAGTGGCACACACCTACAGTCCCAGCTACTCAGGGGCTGAAGTAGGAGGATTGCTTGAGCACAGGAGTTCAAGGCTGCAGAAAGGAGTGATCACTGCTGTTCTCCAGCCTGGGTGACAGAGTGACACTCTGTCTAAAAAAAAAAACTGGGCTTGAGAACACTGACAACCAAGGGGCCAGGAGGACCCCTAAGCCAGGGGTCCCACAGTCAGTCTGCACAGTCCATCTGCTGTGCTTTAAACGCTGATAAAGTTACCAGCCACACGAACGATGGCCCAACACACTAACATGTAGCTTTCAAAAACAATTAGTGTCTACTCATCAATCGACGTCATCTATGTATGAAAGAGAATGAACTCTTGGTCCTTCTCCCCTACAAAAAATCTCCACGGCGCCTCAGAGGTTTTTAGCGGGCCCCGTTGCCGTTCCTCACACAGAAGTATCGCTCGCCTCCTGTCCCAGATGCTCAATAGGACTTGATCTGCTAATAGTGAGAGCTCAGAGCACACGCCCCTCAGCACATTAGAAAACAAGTATCCTGCATGCTCGAAAAGCTCATCAAAGCTTCATATTTATGTTCTTTTTTTTTTTTTTTTAAGTTTTACTAGATGTCCCTAGAGTAAGAAAGGGAAAAAGAAAAAAAAAAAAAATGTTTTACTAGATAGAGCCGGTTCTTAAATCAGAAACTCTGTTCTAAATGGATAGTGATCATTAGAGAGGAAAAAACAATCCTGACCATTCTCACCAGACAATGCTGCTACTCCAGCTAAGCCCCAGATGACGGATAATCCCGCCTTCCACGTATGCTTTCTTTACGACGTCCACAGAAGAGCGGCGTTATGTGCATTATCTTGTGGAGACAGGTCAGGATGCAGTCTTTATAAGCCTCTCCAGACAGGAAAGGGATACAGCTGGTCTCTTAGAGCTGCCACATGTCCATGCCTGCCAGGGGAGGGTCCAGGGCAAGGAACTGAGAAAAGGCCAACCCGTGAGGGTAACCCCAGGGAGCTCAGACTCAACTTCTCCTTTCAGATGAAAACAGGCCTCACCTGGGGAGAGCACATTCGGCCCGTGTTGCTGTGGGGGTGGCGGAGTTGCGGCGCAAGCTGAGCTCCCTCCACTGCTGCACTGAGTGGCCATGGTTGGCCACCGACATCCTCTGGGCTTTGTGTTTTCTATGGTTGAAGTGTTTATTCACTCCAAAACTCAGGTTGAAATTTAATCACCATTGTAACAGTATTAAGAGGTGGTGAGGTGATGAGGGCCCCACCCTCCTGGGTGGGATTGGTGCCCTTATAAAAGGGTGAGTTCAACCCTCTCTTGCCTGATCTCACTCTCACTCTCTCACCTTCCACCATGGGATGGCACAGCCAGAAGGTCCTCATGAGATACCTTGACCCTGGACTTCCCAGCCTCCAGAACTGTGAACTGATAAATTTCCATCAGCATCAATTACCCAGCCTGTGACAGCAGCACACACTGGACGAACGCAATGTTCTTCCGTTATAAGATAATAACACTGCCAACATGCCTAGGTCTCCACTATCTTGCCTGAATAAAACAAACACATTTTCATTCAACTCCTGTGGCCTTCTGAATGACCTTGACTTCCATCCTTCCCGGGACATCAGTGGGGTGCTGAGGACTGGCCTAAAGTATAGGGACACACTCTCGGGCAGCCTCAACCAAGAAACTGCAGAAGAGGAACCCTCGTGTGCCTTCCCAATCACACTGATGGCTTCAAGTTGGACAGGGCTCTCCTGGGCCCCGGGTGCCCCCTAGACCGAGAGACCAGCTCAGCTGAGGTCACCATGTGGGATGGAGGAGGCAGCAAGACCACAGCTGTGCTTTTGAGTAACCAAAGACTGGGGTCTGACAGCACCATTTATTCATCAGATGCAGAATTCACATTAGCTATCGTAGTACTGGCTTCTCTTCTTTTTTCTCTTTTTTAAATTTAAGCTGTTAACTATTGATGCCTCTTTACTTCCTCCCAGAGCACTTTGTTTCTGATAGGGAGAAATAATTCCTCATGCTTACCTTTCTGTTTCCCTCCAATTTTCAGTTCTCTATTAGGTACCTAAGGGAAAAAAACGTCTTTCATTTCCAACCAGGGAATCTTGCGGCCAGTCTCTGAGGCTTGGGGCACTGGCATGGATGTTTGCAAACACGCCTGCCGTTGCTGTTTCTACCCTAGGTGCCAACCTTCAATCCAAAAGCTGCTCTATATCACGTAAGTGAACCGGCAAACCTCAGCAACATGGACAAGAGGCCAGATCTCTGGGGAACTCCGTCATCTGTATGAAAGCACCCCAGGGCTACAGAAAGCCGCTTATCTGGGCCCTTCACTCAGGACGGGAAAGAAAGGCAGCTTGCGGATCTGATTACGCCCTGGTCCTCAGGAACCTGTCACCACCCCAGGGGCTAGTTTTGGATGAGGTTGGCAGCCGCACTGCCCACACAGAATTCTAAAGGGGATTCTCCTGCCTCCCACCATGGGTGGGACCCGGTCCCTCGAGTTTGAAGGGGGCCCCATGTAACCTACACAGTCCATCTGCAGGGATTCACAGCCCTGTCTTTACTTCATTAGAAACTATCCGCTCTGCCTTCCAACAGTTGCTACAATGGGGGAAAGAATAAATGGGACTCATGAGCGTCTATTAAATGACCACGTACGCCCAGTACTGTAAGACTCTGTACAAGACACAAAAGAAACAGGAGACAAGGTACCACCTCAGTACCTTGAAATCCAAGTTGGAAGATACAGACATACTCAACACGAAAGCAGAAACAACAGAAGGCACAGAAAAAAAAAAAAAAAACAACACCAAAAAACACCAAACACAAGCACCAGTTTGTGGGGCAGTCGATAAGGCTATCTTAACCCTCAGCCAATGCCTCCATAAGCCCCTCTTCCAGCTCCATGCTGGGCACGTCTTTCAGGGAATATGGCGGCCAAGAACGTGAAGCCATGACAGTACCCGACACAGGTGTGAGTTCTGAAGCACAAGGTGAAAGAGAAACAGCTTCCAGCCCCTTCTTCACTGTAGCTTTCCGCCTGAGCCTGGCTCCATCGGCGCTGACTCCGCTTGCCCCTCGCCACAGAGGCAATCTGACTTGGCATCTGAAACCTGTTTTTACTACACTGGGCCAAAACAAGGGCTTCACCTTCGCTTTCGTCCAATAATGTGTTAAGTGCTCGGACACTTGAAAACAAAATCCTTTCCATTTTTGCCTGAAAAAAACTGTCAACCAACAAGGAAGGTCCTTTCTCTGCCAGGGTGACCTCTAACCATGGAAGGCACGTCCATCCCCATCAGACTTGCCCGTTTCGTGTGTGTGTGTTTGTTTCTCTCGCAGAAAGGTCCCTGATTCCATCTGTGTCCTTCGTCCATAGCTGGCTGCTGACATGCAGTGACATAACGTGCTCTGTAGACTCAGAGCTCTTCTTCCTCAGTCTGTGCCTGGTCCCAGTGCAACACTAAAGGCAAACGCAGCATTAGGAAGAAATGACAAAGGTTTCCTCCAGGTGGAAACTGGAGGAAAGGTTTCAGGGCTTCTCTCCAGCCTGGCTCTGTGGCAAGCCGCCGAAATTCTCTCTTTTTTTTTTTTACCATCCTGTTCCCCTAGCCAACCCACCCCCTCTTTTTGTTGTAAGGGAACACCCACAGATGCAGCTGGATTCAGAGGGGATGCCCGCATTAGGGCCAGTTGTGTGCAAGGAAAAGATAGGTCAGAAGCCAAAGGAATGATGTGAATACACAAGAAGAAAGGTTTTGTTTCACAAACAGAGGGGAATACAGACCCCTTTTCAACTCTGTAACCTACAAAACACTGAATTGTGTTCAGAAGAAAGCCAAATACACAATGAATGGGTGCATGCTTGTGAACTAGCTTTTATAAAGTTCTAAAATGACTCCTATCTGAGGTAAGATGAAGAGATTACAAGGGAACCGAGAAGCAGAGTCCTAACAGGGTATTTAGCATGATAGAATGTGCTCACTCACTGCTGTTTATTGAAGGCCCCTTATGGCCAAACCCTGTGCTAAGTGCTGCTAGAACACCCGGAATATCGCAGTGGAAACAAGTGATCCTGGGCTGGGCATGGTGGCTCACGACTCTAATCCCAGTGCTGTGGGATGCTGAGCGGGGAGCATTGCATGAGGCCAGGAGTTGGAGGCCAGCCTGGGCAACATAGCAGACTCTGTCTCTACAAAAAATAAAAATTAGCCAGGTGTGGTGGTGTGCACCTGACCCAGCTATTCGAGAGGCTGAGGCGACAGAATCGCTTGAGCCCAGGAGGTCAAGGCTGCAGTGAGTTGTGACTGTGCCACTGCCGTCCCCTCTGGGCAACAGAGAGAGGCCTTGTCTCTAAAAAAACAACAAAAGGCCGGGCGCGGTGGCTCAAGCCTGTAATCCCAGCACTTTGGGAGGCCGAGGCGGGTGGATCACGAGGTCAAGAGATCGAGACCATCCCGGTCAACATGGTGAAACCCCATCTCTACCAAAAATACAAAAAATTAGCTGGGCGTGGTGGCGCGTGCCTGTAATCCCAGCTACTCAGGAGGTTGAGGCAGGAGAATTGCCTGAACCCAGGAGACGGAGGTTGCGGTGAGCCGAGATCGCGCCATTGCACTCCAGCCTGGGTAACAAGAGCGAAACTCCGTCTCAAAAACAAACAAACAAACAAACAAACAAACAAAAAAAACTGTCCTTCTGTCTGACACCGTTTCTCCCTCCTCGGCCCCAGCCAAACACAGAGCTGAAAGAGTCTACCTACACGTCACCCGCTGCCAAACTCCGGAGTCAAAAGAAAACGGTGGGCTGAGAGTGACCCTTACCCCGCGTCGGAGGTTCTGGGAGCAGAGACGCTGTGGGGCTCCCCGTGTCCTCTCGGTGTGCTGCGGCGGCTTTCGGAGTCACTCACGTGTCCTTTCCCCGCGGGCGTCCTACGATGTGCGAGGGCCGCGGAGCCATCCTCATGCCCGTTCTGCAGGCCGTGGCCCGCTCGTGTCCCAGTCCTCGCTGCCTGGCGCCCCTTGGGGTTATCCTCGCGCGGTGCCGGGAGGTCTCTCGACGGTTTGTATCCATGAGAGATCAGGAGGTCTTCTACACTGTACATGATGCCCGGCTTCAGCAAAGCTCGACCGCTGGAACCATGGCGGTGGCAGGACCCAGCACTGCGGGACAACAGAGAGCTCTGTTTGTGACCAGTTCTCCCTGGAGCTCAGTCTGACACCCCCTCCTCCCGTCACCCCCATCGAACCAGACCGCGGTGATGGACACAGCACAGAACCCGCACAGGAAGAGGGAACGCGGGCATGGCTCTCCATTTTGTTCACGTAGAAAGTGGAAGCGGCTCTGGCTCCAGAGGACCTCAGCCTTCGCTGACTGCCTCTGGTAGAAGAGCATGTGGCATCGCTTGAGCAGTGATGTGACTAACACTGTCCACCTTCCCCTCGCCCCACTCACCTACAGACAGCAGGCGGAAGGGTGAGGCCAAAAAAAAATACAGACCTGGGAGCTTCCATGGCTGCTTCATGTTTCTAAAAAGAGAAACTACCAATATCCAGCTTAATCTTAGGACGCGCTCCTGCTTTCATCTTGTAGACATACCCTTTGCTCTACGAGAGAGTGAGATCTTTAATCAACACAGTCATGATACACTTCAGCGGAAGTGATCGAAACAGCAACCACCAGGGCAGCCACCCCAGGGCAGTTAACTGGCAGCCAAAAATAGATTTTAACGAACACACTGATCACATACGCCCTACTCACTGCACAATCCCAAAGGTCTCTTCTCCTCATGAACCTTTTTTTTTTTTTGAGATAGACTTTTGCTCTTGTCTCCCAGGCTGGAGTGCAGTGGTGTGATCTCGGCTCCCTGCAACCTCTGCCTCTGGGTTCAAGCGATTCTGCCTCAGCCTCCCAAGTAGCTGGGATTACAGGTGCGCGCCACCACACCCGGCTAATTTTTTGTATTTTTAGTAGAGAAGGGGTTTCACCATGTTGGCCAGGCTGGTCTTGAACTCCTGACCTCAGGTGATCCACCCACCTCAGCCTTCCAAAGTGCTGGGATTACAGGCATAAGCCACCATACCCAGCCTCCTTAGAAAACTTTTATGAACCAAATTTCTTCCCAGTGGATCTTGGGGAAAAGTTTTGCATCTCTCAGCCAAGGATGTCCACACCCAAATCAACAGCAGCAACTTCCTCCAGTGTAAGTTGCACAAAGACAAGAGTACCTACAAAGAAGAATGAAAATGGGCAGAAATCTATGTAAGTGCAGAAGAGGTAGAGCTGCCCTGTTTATTCCTACATGAGAACATCCTTCTTCCTGAGTCTTCCCTTTGATGATAAGGCGTAAGACAGACTGGTCAGATGGATCCACCCATCGCTGCTTCCATGGGGGTAGCGGTAATGCCGGCCTGGGTGAGGCACAGCCCCATCAGAAAGCTGGGCCAGCTTCAGCCCCACTTCGCTGGTAGATGGAAACAGAGCCGCTGCAGCCACAGCGAACAATGGCCAGGAAACGCCTGCTGGCCCGTGTGCAGGTGAAGGAAGACGCCTGTGGCCTGTGCTTCCTGTCACTGGGAGCTCTTATTCGGGTCTGCCGCATGGTTCTGCTCTGCCTGTCCTCACTCTTCATCACCTGCTAGATTACAGTAGCAGGGAAAGTCTTGCCTGTCAGCATGGAGAGTATCGGACTTTGGAAGTTGATAATTCTCCATCATGTCCCTACATTTTATGGAAGCTGACAAGCTCTGGCAGCCACTGTACTAATAGAAAAATCTCCATAGCAACTCTGCCACTCCTGACACTTCTACCGCATGTCTTTTGGGGAACTGTACAACTTGGGTCACTCGCTTCAACAGACAAGGAAGGACCAGAGAAGCGAGCATTTGTTCTTTGATTCAACAGAGCAAGTTCTGCCATGCGAGAGCTGACAGAGGCCTGAGATCCCATCACAAGCACAGGGCATCAGGAACACAGTCAGGCTTTAGGGCAGGGTCTTTGGTTTGTTCGATGCTTTATGCCCAGCAACTCACACACAGTATGCACGCAATAAATACTTTTTGAGAAAATACACAAATAAGAGAAAGAGCTAGGTTTTTAAGAATAGTTAGGAGTTCATTAGGCAAAGAGCACGTGTAAGTTTATGAGAAGGGGAACTGGCATTGAAAATAGATTATGAGTAGAACTATCCCAAGGGCAAAGAAATGGGGCCAGGCACGGTGGCTCATGCCTGTAATCCCAGGACTTTAGGAGGCTGAGGCAGGTGGATCGCTTGAGGTCAGGAGTTTGAGACAAGCCTGGCCAACATGGTGTGATCCTGTCTCTACCAAAAATACAAAAATTAGCTAGTCATGACGGCAAAATCCCAGTTACTCAGGGGCCTGAAGGAGGAGAATTGCTTGAGCCCAGGAGGCAGAGGTGGCCATGAGCCAAGATTGTGCCACTGTACTCCAGCCTGAGTGACACAGCAAGACCCCATCTCAAAAGAAAAAGAAAGAAAGAAAAGAAAGAGAGAAAGAAAGAGAGAGGAAGGAAGGAAGGAAGGAAGGAAGGGAGGGAGGGAGGGACGGACTCAGTAACAGAATCCTGGCAACCTGGAACAAAGTCCCCAGACTCACTGGTTCAATATCACACACAGGATCAGCATCTGAGTTAAAGTTAGCAGTAGGTCTTACGACACTCAGTTTCTCTCTCTTACTATGCCGGGCTCTTTAAAATAAAAGCAAATTGCACTATACTCCAGCTGGCCGTCGAATACACTGAGGACAGGCATGTGCAGCCCACAGCTGGTTATGCTGCAGTCCGTTTGTCAGAACGGCAGAGAAGACATTATGCTCACAACACACAGATGTGGTTCATTTTCTTACTGGGGCTGGACAGGTTGGTCTAATATGGCTATGTGTTTGCACGGTAATTATATTTAGCGAGAATATCTTTCAGCTGTGGTTAATCGATTCTTCCTTCTCACCCAGTCCAATAATCTCTTCCTCTACAAACTCCAAGGAAAAACCTGAACTGTAAACCCAGAATTGCAACACATATTAACTAATAACATCAACTATTCGTGACCATCTATAATGTGCCAGATTCTGTACTGATACACCTTCATCCATTCCATGCTCCCAGCGAACTTCTTAATGTAGACAGGAATGTCTCCATTTTCACAAGAAAACTGAGGCTGACTCCAAGGTTACACAGCTTGTATTAGATCCCAGGTTTAAACTAGGTCTGTCTAGCTTCAAAGTTCAGGCTACTAATTTAGGCTCACCCATCTATATTTTCTTCCTTAACATCAAAAGAAGTTTCCTAGGCTGGGAGCGGTGGCTCACGCATGTAATCCCAACACTTTGGGAGGCCGAGGCGGGTGGATCACCTGAGGATGGGCGTTCGAGGCCAGCCTGACCAACATGGAGAAACTCTGCCTTTACTAAAAATACAAAATTATCTGGGCGTGGTGGCACATGCCTGTAATCCCAGCTACTCAGGAGGCTGAGGCAGGAGATTTACTTGGAACCTGGGAGGAGGAGGTTTTGGTAAGCTGAGATCACACCATTGCAATTGCACTCACTCCAGCCTCGACAACAAGAGCAAAGCTCTGTCTCAAAAAAAAAAAAGGCCGGGCGCAGTGGCTCAAGCCTGTAATCCCAGCACTTTGGGAGGCCGAGGCGGGTGGATCACGAGGTCGAGAGATCGAGACCATCCTGGTCAACATGGTGAAACCCCGTCTCTACTAAAAATACAAAAAACTAGCTGGGCATGGTGGTGCGTGCCTGTAATCCCAGCTACTCAGGAGAACTGAGGCAGGAGAATTGCCTGAACCCAGGAGGCGGAGGTTGCGGTGAGCCGAGATCGCGCCATTGCACTCCAGCCTGGGTAACAAGGGCGAAACTCCGTCTAAAAAAAAAAAAAAAAAAAAAAGGAAATTTTCTAATTTACCAAATAATCCATAAATAAGGAAAGATAGAAGCCATGGTAGCATTAAAATTAAAAACCATGCGTTTAAAAGGAAAAAAAATTTCCTTTATTCTCTAGGAGCAGGATGGCTCTTCTAGATGGCTCTTCTCACACACCACACACAGGCACACGTGCGCACACACACACACACACACACACACACACACATAAGAGTTGATGCCTCACCTGACTATAATGTCTTGATGGCAATGATGGTGTTAATGCTTAAATGCTCAGTAATATGATTCATTCTTGAATACACCATGGGCAATTGCTTTGTGACCTTCACAGACCTCTTTGATCATTTTGGGTTTTGAGCTTTTCATAAATAGCGTAGGGTTATTATCATAAAACACTTTGTATGAAACTGAAATGCACACAAACAACATCTATAATAAGTGGGAGATAAGTAACTTAAAAGAATAAATTCTAAAAGAAAACAAAATGTCCTATATAGAAATGGCCGTTCTTATCTGCAACATTAATAGAATTTGGACTTAATTTGAGTAGACAACAGCAAACCACAAATGGGTTTGGGCAAGGGAAATCTGGCAGGAAAGCAGAAGACTAAAGCGGATAGAGGAAGAACAGATGGGAGACCTGTAGTTACAAGTCCTTTCTATTGTATCATGCAAGCGGGGCTGGAAGAGGGGATTTAAAAAAAAGGAATAATAAGAGTAATTTTCAGGGGGAAAAGTACAAAGGATTTTAGCCTCGGTGATGAGGATAATGATCATTCCATTAATAGAAATATAGAAATTGGAAATAATTGTTGGTTTGAGAAGATGACAGCTAGTTTGATTTTGATATCACCAACCTAGTCTCACAAAATTCTCTTTCCCCAAATCATCATCATCAAATGGATTTTCATCAAAGATTAATTATTTGTCTTTCCAAAGAACCTGATAAGACCACTTGCAGTGATCTTATTGGGTGGTACCTTTTTTTTTTTTTTTTTGAAACGGAGCTTTGCTCTTGTTGCCCAGGCTGGAATGCAATGGCATGATCTCGGCTCACTACAACCTCCACCTCCCGGGTTCAAGCAATTCTCCTGCTTCAGCCTCCTAAGTAGCTGGGATTACAGGCATGCCCCATCACGCTCAGCTAATTTTGTACTTTTAGTAGAGATGGGGTTTCTCCATGTTGGTCAGGCTGGTCTCAAACTCCCGGCCTTGGGTGATCCGCCAGCCTTAGCCTCCCAAAGTGCTGG